CCATCGAGGGATTCATTGGGTCATTACGTGCAAAAGCTGCACAGTCTGGCAACTAAGCCTTGCCACCTCCTGTATGTGACACTACTTGATAATAGGATTTAAAAAAAATCGATTTTCTTTCTTTTCTCTTGTGTCTTCTTCTTTATATATCTTTTGTATTTCTTGCACATAGCAACTCCTAACTGTAAATGAATATCTAGGTTGGTTCTGATGACATCCCCTATGCCAATGGCACTACTTACAGGGTTGTGAGGTAAATAAAATTAGACAAACTAATGTGCCAGTAAAGTAGAGCCAACGTTAATTACAACTTATTAATCTCACAAACTGATTGCGGTGGACGCACGGGTCGTTAGTATGTTGGAATCTAAATTTAATAGATTCCTCACTTAGGTATTAGCTTTTACTTCGGGCACCGCGAAATCAGAGACTCTCAAAAGAGACATGCGTGGTTATTTCATTGAAAAAGCGCTTTACTGCTGATTTCACCACGGCTTGAGGAGTAACTCTAAAACGGTAATATCGTGCTGAGGAAGAAAACCGTATGAGCCTTCAAGCGTTGCCAAATCTCCTTCGACAAATCAAAAATTTTCAGGAAAATAAGTGATGATCCGACTTTCAATTTTTCAGAAGGTTTCGTTCGTAATTTGACCTAAAAAGTCTGAAAATTTCAAGGAAAAATATTCATAACTTTCCTCCGAAATCAATATTTTCTGATTGGAAATCTGGCAATATTCGAATGCTCGTGCGGCGTTTTTACTGAGCGTGGCAGAGTAGAGAGATGGTTGGAGGGAAAGTAGGGGCCAAAACAAAAGGAAGACGCTGAGGAGTGAGGAGGAAGGAAAAGAAAAGTAAGTGAGGAACGAAATTAAAAACCAAGGAAAGTGATCTCTCCAGCTACTGCCTTTTTCTCTCCTCCAATGATTATGAATGGGCGTCGCGCGTTGCACCACGTTTTCATATCCTTGCAGCATCGTAAAACTGTTTAAATCAAATAAATAAAAGAACAGACTCTGGAAAAATCATTTCAAAGAGAAAAGAGGAAGCATGCAAGAGGGCCCAATGACAAGCGAGTCGTTTACAACAATCTTCCGTCTCAATTCAATTTCAAAATCATTCACACAAATCCGAAAGAGGAAGAAAAACTTAAATAAATGCGTCCATGCAAACACCTTCTCAGATCGCCGAAATCGTCAAAACGTTTATATCAATTGTTCGAATCAAGTGGAAAGTACTAAAAAAATCTCACAACAGTGAGAGTAACTCGATGAGAGGAAAAAAAACGTTTGGAAGTATAGTTCATTAAAAACGGAGACAGTTTTCCATTCCAACAGTAGCAGGCATTTGAAATTTTAACGCCTTCTCCACATGTAAAAAATAAGTTTTTCCAGTTTTTTTTTTTTTACTTTAGGACTCCTTGCCCACTTTATAGTCAAGTCTTTTTTTTTTTTAGAATAAATTAATTTTTGGTTCTCTTTCGCCGTCGATGATTTTCGTCTCTTTTTTCACCTGTTTGTCAATGAACACGCAATAATTTTGACAGATGCACTCCTCATTTTTCAATTGCTTCCTCCTTTTGGACGACGATTCCCCACGAACTGGAATGAGCTTCAAAACGCGTGTATTCTAATGTATCTGGAGATCCATCCGAAAATATATGAGAGCCTTTTGAGGATCAAAGGGTGTTAGGAATGCGAGATGCAACTATTAATCAGATGATTCAATCGGCGCATTTTGATAAAGTATTTTCGGGTGCAGCTTCCGAGGGAACAGTTTAAGGCACTAACTCAACCCATTTTTCTCCCGTTTCCTTTCAAAATTCGGCCCTCTCACGATGACAGCCCCTAAAACGTGTCGGAAAGAAGTTGGACGAAATAGTAAACCGGAGCTGCGGTCCGTCAATGAACTCGCTTTTTTTCCGGGTCGCAGACCTTTTTTTTTTGTGACCGTAAGTGAGTTGCAGTCTCAAAAATCGACGGAACGCACAGTGATACAAAAATTATTTTTAAAAATTAACAGAACGAAGTTTTGATAGAAAAAATGCCAATAAATTTAGAAGGGATTCTACATCTCTTATACATGCCGGTTACCATTTGGATTGCATTATGCCAAAAGGAACCAAGGACGCTCTCATGTCGCTAAGATTGTGCAACTTTGTTTCACCTTTCAATTATAAACTGAACATCCAAACAAATATCTTTACTCCCAATAAATTATAAATTCAAGACGAAAATTATCTTTGTAAATTTAATTTTTTGCCTGATTTCAGTAATTTTATTGCAAAGAATGTAAGTTGCACAATCCTAACTTCATTGAAATGTTGGTTCCCTTTTGCGAAGTACAGTCCATTTATATGCGCATTGTTTTTATTTATATTATTATTAATATATTGCCATCGGTTGCATGCAGCCAGTTTCATGTTATCTGTTAGGAGCATGCAAATAATGTACAATAATGCAATGAATAAGTGCATCCGGATTATCGGAAGAAAATAAGTGAGCGTTCTTATGTCACAGAAGCTGCAGTATTAATTTTTATGAGCAAAATTTTCGTGGAGGCAGGAACATTTAAAGCTTGTTTATTTTCTTGAAAAGAGGATACATCTCATTGTTTTCCCGGCAAATACATTCTAACGTTACGAAATTTGCATTCGAATCTAATTTTCACCAGAAAATTGTCCAGCATTTCTAATTGAGACTTCCACTGAATTTTCTGCACACCCCTAAAAAAAATCAGCAACCCTAGGGGTAAAAACTGCACAATCAAATCGTTGTGAAAGTAGTTAAATTGAATGAGCTAATTCAGCAACATTGGCATGGCTTTTAGTCTAAGAAACGACGATTTGTACATTTTTAACAAGTAATGTTCAATATTTCAATTTTTACCCATCACCATAGCAATTGATGCCCACTGTGAGTAGACACATATAGGTATTCTTACGAGAGTAAATGCACCTGTGGGTGTGAGTGGGCAAGTGAATGGCCGGCCCAAGGAGAGGGACTCCCTCTTCTTGAGGGTGAGAAAAAAAAATGAAATTGTGAGGTTAGCCCCCACGTCTGCGTGAACAATAAGGATCATATAGTGCGGTGTTTGATATACTAGCTCTGACGACCAGAATCTCGTGATTTTGGGTCACCTGTCATTGTTGCCAGCATTGCCATTCACATTCGAGAGTAAATCTGTGAAGTTTTACAGAGTGGGATTTTGCACCGTCTGCGTTGAACTTTAGAATTGTATTTTATGAACGGTGATTGGTCAGTGAGGCGTCTAGGACCAAAACCGGCAACCTTCATTGCGCTGCGCAAAAACTGGGCGACCATTATAATTTTAACATTGAAAGAACGAAAAAGCTTCCATGTTCCTGTTCCCGTGTTCTGTTTTCAAGCGAGAAAATTGTAAACATGTTCAAAACAGCTAGAAGTTATAGTTGCTCCTTGCAGAAAATCAATATAAATGCACAATTTCTAGACAGGGCATTGGAGATTACCGGTTTTGTTTCTAGGCGCCTCAAATAGGGCTTCGCATATTTTTTAATGTCATCATGAAATGAGTCTAATTAATGCAAATTATACCAAGTCTCGTTAAACCTATGACACTAAAATGTTGAAATATTTGATCTTAATTCCTTATTTATATCCAATAGTGTTTAGTGTGTGCAACGTCAACGTTGTAATTATGACTTATTAATAGTCAACGGACTGACTGACCAACGTTTTCGACATTAAATCAGTGTAATAAATTAACATACATAACGCACACCACCTAAAATACTTCGCTTTCCACAGAAAACTCGTTCAATGTATAACATGTAAAATATTCCGTAACCTTTCCGTCATGTGCTTGGCGACATCTTCTCCTTCGGTAATGGTGATTTATACCGTGCGGTTAGCATTTTTGAACATATTTTTCACGCGCATGACAACACCGTTAACCTTTTCTTCAAATCAGCGTTGCCAAATCTCCAAATTCCAATTTGACTGTGTGAAAAAGCCTTTGCTCCCTATTTTTAACGTCTCATGACAGCCAGTCCTGACCAATCCCCGCGGTCAGTGGGTTCACTGTGGTCTTGCCCTTACCTTTTGACCCTTGGTTGCCAGTTCGTCGCATGAAAGCTCTATTTTTCCATTCAAAATTATATGAAATATCGTAGGAAGCCCAGAGCAAGTAGCAACACCGCCCAAACCACAAGTGAGAAATCGCCCCATGAGTGGTCGCATTAAAAATCCCCCCGGAATATTAGTTCGAAATCCCGAAGTTGATCCTGAGGCTCGGTCGCCCGTGAAATTGAGAAATCGTATACTTTAATTTGTAATTCCCACCGGCGGCCTTTTGTTTTTATTCTGGATTAGCTGTAGGGGTCCTCTTGCCCCCCCCCCTTCTTCTCCATTCCACTGTCCCTACGGTATAACCACAAACTCCTATGGTCGATAATCCATACGCGGGTTCGATGAAAGCCGCTCTTACACCGCAGCAAAGATTCTCACAGTTCCGTCGTTGCCCTCGCGAAAGAACGTAACTAAATTTCAATGTTGCTAAATTTCTCCTCAAAAATTGCATTTTTATCAGGTGAATCTCGGGCATCTCTGACTGAAAATTTCACTGATTTTCCTTCTGATCTCGTGCAAAAATCAGGCAAATTTTCGGCGAAAGTTGTATTGGTATAATCTTGTAAAAAATTGAATTCTTCGAGGCAATTTTGCAACCTTGGAATGGAGTGACGTTCCTTTGTCTGAGAAATCGTCGCTCTTCTGACGTAAGGGCGTATCTCAATTTGAACGTGAGCCCTGTTTTCCGTGTAACTCTATGCTTTCTAGGGCTCACGTGGAAATCGAGATACGCCCTTACGTCAGAGGAGCGACGAAATGACGAGTTGCAGGCGATTATACTTGCCCCCATAATTTTTGCGATAATCTTCGTAGTTGACGGTTGCTAACATGTCTTCAAAAAATATTTTACAGCGAGTGTCATCGTTTTAATCGAAGCATCTTGTGTTGTTTCAGACGATAATCAAAGTCTACGCACGGTGTCTGAGGCCGGATATCGAGTACAAAACGCTGAGCATCACCTACCAAACGACATGCAGGGACATCATCAAGATGCTCCTCAACAAATACAGGATGCGGCACCGGGACCCCAATCTGTTTTTTCTCACCATGGAAGTCACCGTTCGAAAAGTTGGTAAGTGTCATCGCCAGTCGAGCAGTCATTACTCCACTGTATTGTATGAAAGGAAAATAATAAGCGAAGAAGAATACGAAAACGGAATCAAATCGCAATAGCATCACCTTCCGGCCAAAGTATCATAAGCGCCATGCGACGCTTCAAAATTTCCGCCGTCATTTTATTTTTTTACAGTAAAATCGTTCGAGGAAGCTGTCCTAAAATTTCACTGAATTTTTCTTGTGCTGCCGATAAAATTCAGTGACATTTTCAAACAGATTCAACCAATAATTTCTCTGTAAAAAAATGAAATTGCGTCGGAAATTTTTAAACGCTGCATGGCCCTTGCGATAATTTGGCTAGAGGGGGATGATATTACGTTGATGCGGAAAAACTGTAGATTTATTATGGGTGCATGCTCTTAGTGCTCATGCGTGAATAATTCAATTCAATTATTTTCATCCATAAACAAGAAAAATCATGCTAAACATCGTTGAGGAACGAAACATGTCTGCTATTTTCCCTGCACTCGCAGGGTAGATCCGGTAGGCTCGTGCAGTATTCCCGCGAGGCACAACTATGAATCCCGACTTCCAACCATAATTACTATAAATTATGATTTATATATCGAAGCGTGAACGCGTCAACGAATTCTCTCAGTCCCCGGCAATTAGGAGGCGTGAGTGATCGATTATACTATCGATTTTTCCCCATTTGAAGCTGAGGTGAAGAATCGAATATTAAGGTGTTCGTTGCGGACAGCCTGTGTATCGATCCTTTTCCATGTGTTTAAAAGACAGATTAATCGATATATCGCATAGCACGCCCTGCCACTGATTAAGAGGCGATGATCGCTTTTAAGGGGACGGTCCAAGCCATTTTGGCGCTCTGTGGGCAACGCATTCTTACTGGCTCAACAAGAACTCATCGCGCTTGATCGAGAATGCATGATGTCCATATTTTGTGTTCGTCACAATATACAGTGTTATTTGGCGAAAGAATCCAAGTTCAGTTGAAGAAGTAGTCACTTTAGCTCTCCTCCAGGATGATTATCTTTTCCTTTAAATAATTAAAAATGTTAACTCTAGCAAGTTTGCCCATTGCGCGACGAAAAAGCGGGTAATACAAGGATCAAACAGTAGGTTTTGCCTGAGGAACTGCGTGTTTGATCACGATATTAGTAGGTGTCTTACAAAGCAGGATGGGAGCGCCAGCGTCATCGTAACTCCTAAACGCTTTAAACATACCGATCAAAAGAGGTTCTTGCGATGTTTGTTCAACATGCCTATTCGAAAAGAGTCAAAGTATCCGATAAACCGAAAAATGAGCTTTGCGTTTAATTTTCAATGCTATCAATTGACTTTTTGACGGTGCAAAAAGTGGACTGCGTTTAGAAGAAAGGAGCCAAATTAAAATCGAGAGAAAAATGTTTGGAAGTTATCTTCTTCTGAAATACTGCAAAATTGATCGGACCGAGCAAGGTCTGCCGGGAAAAATCAACTTGATGAATTGAACCCGTGCCTATCTGCATTGAACGTCGCGTCCTTTTCTTTCATGTTTAGTTCTTCCCAAAAAACTTAATAAAGTGACGCCTCAGAAATTTTCTCGAATTTTTCATGGCCTATGGAAAATATTGTCACAAAATTTTAGTCTAGAATGTTGCTCAGTTTACTGTAAAAAAATTAAAGCATGAGATGAATATAAGCAACGTTTGTGCTTTAGTTACGCTGATCCTTGGTAAACTCATCCAATTAATAGAGAAAGTTAGGTGCATTTAAGCCAGTTAGATCCCTCTTTGCGTGTCTCCACCAATCTTTTCCAATGAGCTGAGTTGACAGAGCCAAATTGTTTCGACAAACCCTGAGTAGTGCAACGAGCAGATAATTAACGCGACCGAATAGCTGGAGTTTCCGAGCTACCTAACTAATTTTTATCAGTGTGTAAGATTGCTCACTAGGTGAGTGACCTTATATAGATGGATCCCTTTAATGCCATGAGTTTTTTCACATACACGCGTCAAAAATATAATATCGGATCAATTTCGTTAACTTTCCTAGCCTGGCGTTAAAGTCTCCGGAGAAATTACGAAGTGGCGATTTTGCAAGTTGGCAACAGCGCCTTTCTCCCATTTAAATCCATTGATAATATCGATTTTAAGCGAGGCAAGCTGCTTCACCAAGAATCGATTGTTTTACATACATTTAAATGGAGAAAAAACAGTGTTGCCAGCGTTCAAGAATCGCCACTGAAATTACGCAGTAGCGACTTTGCGTGAAGTCAAACATAGATGTATTGATAGATGAAGAATAAAACTCGGCAAAAACACCCAACCAATCTTTGCTGCTTAATATTTCCTTATTAATCAACGCGAAGGAACTAAGTGAAGTCCATCAAGAACATGTTTCCTTAATATGCAGTATAGGTGAAACCCAAATTAACACTTTCTCTTAAAACGCATGATTAATTAGATTGAAAGGTATACCTCCGGCTATCAAAATTAAATACCTACAAATTAAAACGTGATCAACTCCCGCCACGCCGTTTGAAATAGTATGCTGATTTCATTCCATGTCTAATTCTATTCCTGAACATCATTTTCCTTGATTCTCGAGACTATTTCGAATTGAGTTTCGTATCGTGTTCGATTCTGAATAATGATTTCATTTGGACCGCGTTAAGCAGAAAGGAACCAAGACTCATCAGCTATTAATTGCCAAATTAAATCGGGCAATTGAATGTTTTACATGAAAATGGGTGTGCAGATTTTTGTGAAAATTTCAGTGAATTTTCTGCATAGTTTGAAGTAAGTTCTTCAGCATTTCCAAAGGAATCCGTCCAAGCGTTTTCTCGTAAAAAAGTAAATTGCCAGTTGAATTTGGCAATAGCTGAGGTCGCTTGGTTCCTTTTTGCCAAACGCGGTCCGTTTACGTGTTCACATAGCTAAAGATTTGTATTTTTCTGGGAGTAATCGGAAGTTAGTATGAGGAGGTCTTCATAAAACACAGCATAGGAGTTAGAGAAAAATTCATATCATTATTCCGTTCAGGCATCTAGGAAGAAATCTTCATTTCCCTTACGAAAGAACGTAACTAAATTTAAATGTTGCCAAATTTCCTCGCCTAAACTGCATTTTTACCAGGAGAATCTTGGGCATCTCTAACTGAAAATTTTCCCGATTTTGCCTCCGATCTCATGCAATGATTAGAATAATTTAAGCGAAAATTGCACGGACACATTCCTGTCAAAAATGAAATTGTTCGAGTCAATTTTGCAACCTTGGAATGGAGTTACGCTCTTTTGTCCGGGAAACGATGAAATGATAAAGTGCGTTCCTTAGTTTTTTTAACGGGACATCTACGCGCGGATTCGAAAAATGAAGATGAAAATTAAAAGACTAATTAAAAATGAAAGAGAATAAAATTGAGCTAGGTGCATTCCAGTCACGAAATCCCGGCATCACGAATTGGCCATTACGCTTCTGGCGAGCGGTTTTCTGTCTCTTTTATATCGTTTTCGGCACTTTCTTCCGTTTTTACGCAGAGCTCAGCCTCAGCTCGAGCCGGCTCTGAAATTTTCTCGTAGGAGTTCAACAACTTCGGGATCCGTTTTTACGAATCGTTTAATGGCCGGGAGCCGACCGTTGATTCTCCGAGGACCTAGACTTAAATGAACGTATTTCTGCTAAACGGAACTATTTGCATTTAGACATGAGCCCTGAGACCCATAAGAATTTATGCATAACAGGGCTCACGTCATAATGCACTTAGTTCCGTTTGGCAGAAATACTTCCAAACTTTGACTCCTCGAGCTGTCAGCACGAGCAAAAGAAATCTTGAGTTTGCCAGCGCGTCGTATTAAACGAAGAGGGTATAATGTTTGCAACAAATGTGAGCTGAATTGTGAAAAAGAGATATTTTCGTGGCCCCTCAAACGTAAGGACGCATGTGAATTTCCATGTGAGCCTTATTATACGTATAAATCCATGCTCTCTGAAGCAATGCGGAAATTGAGTTACGCCCTTATGTCACAGGAGCGATGTCTTGAGCAATTTCTCAGTCATGGATCTCAAGATGTGTAACTTTGCAATTCATGAGTTGCCTGGTCATGAAATTTGATCGCGGCAATTTTTTAATCGGACGTATTTATGCTAAAAGGAACTATGTCATACTTAAACCCTGTGCACGTAGTTCCTTTTAGCATAAATACGTCAAATTAGCCAAATTAAGAAAAAATAAAAATAAAAATAAAAATAAATAAAAATGATACCTACCCAAGCAGATACTATGTTATGCCCAATATCGACGCCCTACGCACAAAATACCAATTCTCTATTTCCGTATTCTCGAGGGGCCTTACCTCGATTGCGAAAAAAAAGTGACTTGTTAGAAAAATTTTTCAGCTGAGAGGAAAATTTTCTCGGATCAAGGCAAATAGCGCTTAAGGAAGTCACTTTTGGGCGTATTTATGCTAAAAGGAACTATGTGCGTAGGTTTTGCGTGCGACATAGTTCCTTTTAGAATAAATACGTTTTTGTGTAAAGCAGAAACCTGCATGATTCAAGGGATCCTATTCTTGACTCAAGGGGAAAACTTCTTGACGGCAAATTGAAAGTACTTGCTTTTTCCAATACGATGAGAGCATCGTTATCTGTAATTCAATGAGTCTCGTTTCTTTGCCTCTAATCTTAACTCCTATCCAAATTATTAATTTGTGCTTATTTTGTACTTTTCTAGGTTTAAGGACAGTTCTTGTGTTGGACGATGAAGCCAGACCTGCTGTGCTTGAGTCATGTCACCCTCGCGGCGAGTCCAGGTTTGCCCTCCAGACCAGAAGAGGTGGACTAGTCAAAGTTTTCGATAGCGCTATCATGCAAGGGGTAGGTCCCTATCAGCAGAACAAATACAAATTGCCAATAATAAGTCAGATCGTGTAGATACTCTGATAGTTAAATCATTCGATGCTAGGACCCAATAGGTCCATTGTGCGATGGATGGGATGAAATTCGAAAAAAGTACATCTTTAAGTGCCTTGTGTCATCAACTGGCAACATTTTCCATTTAAACACATGTATTTTAGCAGATTAGGTTATTTTGTCACATTTCCTCCAATAATTCTCCAATATAGAAACCAACGATATCCTCGTGCTCAGTTTTTTTAGTAGTTTCATTTTGAACATGAAGGATACCTAATTTCAGATTCAGACACCTGCAAATTCTCCATTCCCGCGAAAATGAACATGTTGGGTCTTAAGATGATTTCAGGATGAATCGATCCAATCGTTCATGCCCTGTAAATTAATGAGAGAGGCTTTTCTCCGGGATTCGTTTTTGGTGTTCCAAGATTTCAACAAGCGTTCTCATCTTGAACTTCAAAATTCGTGACTTCACGACCCTACACTGTCGCTCAATACCACTAAACTTGCACGAAGAGTATGGCAGACGATATTTTAAGTAAAAATTGAATTTCGGAACATTATTTAACCTAATAAAATTAATCCCGTTTGAAATGTCTCCAGAGTCCAAAACTCATGAAAAACACAAAACGAAGTCCTGTTCAATGGTATTTATTTTGTTTTTTGTTTCTTATTTTTCAGTCTCAGTACAAAAGTTTGCTCATTTCCGAGAGGACAACCGTAGATGAACTGATTCAGATCCTCCTGTCGTGTTATGGTAGCAAAGAACAAGTCGAGCAATTTTCTCTTTACGAGGTATGCGGTGATTCATTTCATAAATCAATTAATTAGTTTTATTTTGAATGATTTTATTATACTTTATCAGGTTGATTCAAGTATCAATATTTAGACTTACTTTTTATTTTGTGATCCTGATTAGTTGACAAGTGAAAAAATCAGGACCGAAAAATTAAAGGTAAGTCTAAATCTTGATTTTTAATTTTATCATGCCCGGAAGTCAGGGATCATTTTTTTCGCAGACATGTTGATCATAGGGGGAAAAATTGTTAGAACTTGATCTCTATAAAAAGTTCAGGTGAATCGAAATACCCGCCTACTGAGACGTACATTGGATTTTTGGAAATTGAAGACTTGGGACTCTCTCGCAAAACCCAACACAATTTAAAAAAAAAAAAAAAAAAAAAAAAAAAAAAAAAAAAAAAAACACCAGCTCACGTCATCCTGATTACCAATAGAGCGCGTTTTCATTTAGTTTTTATTTATTTTCAATTCACTTCGATGCTTTATGGTCAACTTAATAGTTAAGTCCATTAGACTGATCTCGAGCAAGATGTGTCCAAATAGCTCCCACGATAAAGTGCCTCCGGTTCATAGTGATGCAAAACGCAATGCACAGTCAAGTATTGTTGTATCAGGAGAAGTTGAAGGCGCCGTGGAAACATTCCGACTTCAAACTTATGATTAATCTTACTAGCGTCTTTTAAAATATTTCCAGCTCCTTTTTATGACTTCTGGCATGACTCAATGAACTTATATGTATAAAAAATGCTTTCGTGTTTTGATCTTTGTCAGACGAGTTTGCTTTGCAACGGCGCGGCGGTATTCCCATGTTCGCTGAAATATTTTTGCTCATATTTTTCGCCAATGCTCGACAATGGTTAATTTGTCCAATTCGCATAACTAAATATATATCTTTGTTTCAGGTTTGTAAAAACCAAGAATATCAGAGGAAACTTCATCCCGATGACAGGCCGTTGATGGTTCAAATGTGCTGGAGTCCACCCCATGAATTTCATTTCCTCATACGCAGGAATCTTGACTTCAGACCAAGATCACCAAAGGTACTTCCATAGTCTCTCTATTAATACTCCTCAAAGTATCCTATATTTTTAGCGTCAGTAATTGCGAACCTACAGTTTCAAATGTGTCGAATTTTTTCACCAAGCCTTTTAATACACTCATTGAAGTGAGCTGCCTCCTTTGAGTAGAAGATTTCTGAGTATTGCTTGTCCGTAAAAAGAAAGTGTTGAAACTTCCTCCAACAGAATTCTCTTAACTTCAAAGATTATTCCCGTCCTCTTAAGGCCTCTATTTTATAATTTTTATTAAACAGATTATTAATTTTGCGATTTTTTACAGATTGTGTGGGCTGCTGATCTTGCATCTTTACCGTGCTCATCTCGTCAAAGCATATCTGTTCAAGACGGTGACAATGTTCTGGCTGATTTTGACAACTATTTTTATATTTAAGAACTCTTATTTACCAAGTAAGTCATCTTCATGTGTCTAAAAGCGTTTTTTTTATTTGAAGATATACCTCAGCACTTTTGGTGACACCCCAACTTTTTATCAAAAAATTAGAGCGTAGACACAAACACCAAATGAAAATGACAAATATGAGTATTTTCATGACAAAAACCCTTTAATAATAAGTTAAGTTTAATGGTATTTCAGTATCTGAAACATTTGTAAGACTCCCAATCTGTCTAAATATTTCGTAATATTCCTTAATTAAGGGTATTTTGTAGGTGCATTACTGAATTTCAAAATTATTGGGACTGGAGTTCAAAATTGATAACAGTCGTTAAGCTTTATCTGAGAAACACCTTAGTTTTTTCTCTCTAAATGCAACAGTGTCAATGAGTTACGTTTTACATGCAGCGTTGGAATTGTTCAATTTTTCATGAGAATTTCTAAATTGTTTTCAGAAATTTTTTCCCGTAAACTTGCTTCATGCTTGCAGAAACAAATAAAAACTTTTCAAGGGAGGGGGAAAAGACGTCGTTCTTCTCTAAAAATATAAAATGTCCTCAAAAATGATGCGTAGGGCCTGATTGACTCATCAGCAGCTTGACTTAAACTTAAAACCTTTTTCAATCATAATAGTTCAGTTTTTAATTATTTTGTATTTGTTGTTTTTTTTCCAGATTATGTTACTCATTCGACTGAACCTTTAGGCTTATAAGCAGCCTTCTTTAGGTGGTGTTCCTGATCAAAAACTCATCTCCTCCAAGTCTCGTTTGTATTTGGTTTGATTTCAATTTCACCCATTTAGTTAATGTTCTAAATTTAGAGAATCAATTAGAACCCCATATCTTTATAATATTTCTGTAAAACAGCAACATGCATCATAAAAACCTACTGTATCTTTCATCTTTTTGAGAAATTTAGACGAAAATTCGTCTCATGCAGGTTCTTTGCCTTTTTAAATGTTAATATCCGAATCCATCATGCCTGTGCAAAAGCAATATGAGTTTGCACCACATTTTTAGAATAATCAAACTTACAAAGGTTTTTCATGATGTCTCGGAAGAATGCCAAGAGCACCAAAAATAATTTTGTATTGTTAGAGTGGGTTGATTTCTGAATTTATCAGTCTCAGAGGCTCACAAAATGTTTATGGAGAGATGCTCCTTTTTCAAAATTGAGATCACAGGTTTGATGTCCTCACAATATTGGAAAAAAAGGTAGCTATAGTTCAAAATGTATTGAAAAAACATAGATTTTAGAACTAGAATAGCAAATCTGTCAGATATGCAACTCTTTAACCAGAATTCTTCAACCAGCTCCAATGTACACCATTCCCTTTTCAAACTGTTTCACTAGTTGTTAGCTTGTTCCTTCTGTATTGAACCACGTATAAATTCTTTATGTTAGTAAAGGGTATACTATAGTCAGTAAATTTTCTCTACAGTAGTGCAGCTCCGTGTAACTGGAGCTCATAACATTCTAATTTTGATCAGTACAGACCTGTCATTGTTTAAATACCGAGTTAGAATGTAATGTTGTCGTAATGTTTTCTCTTGTAACAATTTACTTGTTCTAGTCGTAGGTTTATGTTAAGACAAATTTCATAAAACAAGTTTCTCATCCATGGAATTTAATATGCCAGTCAGTTTTTATAATTTAGTGTAGAAGATGCGATTTCCATTGAATGAGCTTAAATCAGGAAATATAAATATTTATATCGTAACTAGTAACAAAATGAAATGAAAAAATTCTACTTAAAAGTACTCTGAGGGTGCCTCTAAATTTTTTTATTCTTTTTTGGTCTGAGAAAAAATTGAAAGCAAATGACAAGCTTGGAGTAAAATCACTCAGCAGTGACATATATTTTTCTGTTCACAAATTTCCTTCAAATGCCCCTGCTGCAACTTCATTCACGTGTAAGGCTGATTGCAGCCGTATCTTTTGAAGGCAGTCAGCACTCTAAGTTCCATGAGATTGATTTGATGTTACCTATCGAAGTACAGCTATTAGTTTCTCTCTGTATTTTTCATTATGGACCTTAATTTAAAAAAAAAAATTATCCATAGATAACAGTGTGATGATTTAATTTGAAGGCACTTTGAAAAATTAGTACCACAATTACTCCCAGAATTACTACCGGAATATACCCATTTTTGTTCACTATGGATTTATTCATCTGTCAATGCTATAGGACTCACAAAAACGCAACTATTTAGAGTTCTTCAAGAGGAACTACAAATTAGCATAACAATCATATAATGTTTGAAAGCACTTTCATAATTTATAGCATGTGGCATGTCATCTCTGTGCATTAATCACATATGGGATCTTTCATAAATTACGTAACGTTCTTGGGGTTATGGGGGAGGGGGGGGTGTTATGTCACAAGAACGCTGGGGAGGAAAGGTAAAAAATGCCAAAAAAGGTCGTTACGTAATTTATGAACGCTCCCTATGATGAATTTTTCAGCAGAAGTTGTCTTTTCTCTAAATTAGTCCTGGCTGGCTTTGCTTGTTACCAATTACCGTATAATTTTCTGAGAGAGAAGTTTAGATTTAAGGCTACTTTAAGTAATTTTAAGAGCATATTTCACTTAAAATTGGCATTTTTATTTCTGTCCATGTCAGCTCCTAATTTTCCCCCAAACTTTTACTGCTTGCTAGTCCTTTGTAATTATTTGGCTTTCAGGTAATTTGAACTGCCTGATAGGAATTTTTATTATTTATATGGGGATTAAGTTTTTTTGCTCTCGGCACTGATATGAAATTTTCATATTTCAACAATTACGGTTTCACAGGAGAACGTATTTCTCAGGGTAGACAACATATCGAATGTAAAATTTCGCAATAACGCATCTCATTTGCGGTGTCTGAAAGTCTTCGCTCCTATTTTATTTTTTTAAAGGAGAACAAATCGACATCATCCCTTGAAATTTTCGAAGAATTTTCTTCGCCTAAAGAGAAGAAAAATCACCGCAGTTTGAAGAATTCCCGTCGAGTAGTTTTCCATTTAAAAAATCAAGTATGGCAGGAAGTCTGCAACGTTGCAAACCGAGATACGTGATTGCGCTCTTTCACAGTCGATATGCTGGGTCATTCAGTCCAATGAAAGGTTTGCGATGTACAAACTAAAACACTTTCAAGCTTTCAGCAGATGAGAAAACTGTATTGGTTCCTGAATCTTTTTTTCCTCCCATTATTTTAAGAGCCAAACATTTTGAAATCGCCGTTATTTTCCTTATTAGACTTAGACCTCATCGTCAGTTTCCTTGTTTTGTAAGCAAATATTTTTGCAAAGAATATTCTAATCATCTTAGTGTTGTAGCCTGTTAGTTACAATAATGATTATTGTAAAGTATCTTTAGAGTATACCAAAGACGTTACTTTAAATGTAAGTAGTTGTACATACAGTTTTTGTTGATGCACCCATACTTTTTTGTCTTTTTCTCCTCAATACCTAAATGTTTATTTAACAAGAGATGTTTTTTATTGTTTTTATAATTTTTGAAGCTTTTGAATAAATGATGTTTGTGCAAAAGTAAATCATTTTTTAACTTCATTATATGACATCGCTATCTCCTGGACAAACGCCTCCAAAAACGACAACTCTATAGCTGATGATTCTAAAGAGAATGATGGTTTTCTCTTTCCTTCATCATCCTCCTCTTCCTTTCTCTTTTCCTCTCCTTCCTTTTCTAGTTTATTTCTCCTTCTTCCTTCTTTCTTTGCCTCTTTGCTGTTTTTTTTCTTTCCTTCCTCTTCTTTTCCTTTGTTTTTTCATCTCCCTCTCGGATGGAAAAAAAAAAAAAAAAAAAAAAAAAAAAAAAAAAAAAAAAAAAACAGTTCAGTGGAAACAGCGTTAGTGAAGTTTTCATACACCAAACGTATTACTGATGAACGATTAACCCGCTTCAGCCCAAATTCGAACTCAACCTTCATAAGACTTAATGGTATACCATGAGAAAATCGAATAGGTTGACGCGTTTCTTACGGAAGTTATCGTGTCTGCAAAAGAGTTGTTGCCAGAAGTCGCCGAACTCCTACGCGGGAGCGGGAGATGATACCACTATTCAACCATGTAGGAGGTTGTGTTGCCTATTCTAAAAATTGAAGGCAAACTGGCATGACGTTGTAGTCACCTCCTCCCGCTAGGTAAAAAGCTGTCATTTTGCGTTTGTGATGATACCAGTCGAGGGAGAGAAGGATCGAACAATCCGAAAACCATCCTTACGTATATCATGATCGCCTTCAAATGAATAAAATAAGATCAGTAAAATGATAGAATGGAGTCGAATGTATATGGTAATATTAGCTAGGTATTTAAGAGAGGAATTAAATAACTGATTAATTATAGTGTTAGTTGCACTTATAAATTAGCACTAAAATATCATTAATTACTTACTTTTAGTCGATTCCTTTATTTATTTTTATCTGTTTTCAAATGCTGTACAAAGTGGACTAAATTTTGCGGCTGGGAACTACAACTTCTGGCTCATTTTAGAAACAACATACCTACATGCCATTAGATTCCCTACGCAGACAGGTGTTTTTACGAATGCGCCATAAATTGTAGTTCCTGATTGCAAAATGAAGCCCAAATAATCAGTGTCTGAAGTAACTATAAGTAACTAATTATCAAGCATGCGTTTTAAATTTTTTCTTGACGACGCGAACGTAAGATATGCGTGACCCAAAAGAAATTATTGGATCACTTACGAGCTTACTAAAAATCCATTATCAGTCAAAACTTATAAATCCGCGAAAATAATCTTGAGTGTCATGAATCTATTACAGTTCCACCCACTTGTCTTAATTCTTAAGCTTGAGTGTACTTCATCCTATCACAAAAAAAATAATTTCAACTACCAGCTCACAATAATTGGGCAATTACATAAACGTGAATTCGAGCGCTTTTTATCAATATTTCTAAAATCCACTTCTGACGTAGGTACGTGCTTTTAAACTGAACAAGTCTTAAGATTGCGCCAAACAACCTCAAGATTATTTTAGAAAGTTACCGTGAGCCCATTGTTTTTTCCCATTAATATCATAGAGAATTTGCCCCCCCTTATCGATGTGAACTTTAGTAATCAGTGCTCAGGCATGTACGCGACAGGAGGTTTTTTACTCACTGTAGAAAGCATCGCATCCTAATTGAGACCGTCATCGCATCACATTTGCGAAAAAATGAGATAGTCGTCTCCTCTTATCAAAAAAGAACTTCAACAGAAAACAGTCAGGTATAAAAACAGTTACTTCAAAATTCTTGTCTTCTGATACAAATATTCCACCTCGCTGCTACAGCGTGCTATTTCTTAAAAAATAGTCTAGTTGGGATTAATTTTGCTGTAATAAAATAGTATGGACACCATTTTGTGCAATAATTAATTAAAATTTTTCCTCCTGTTCAAAAAAAAAAAAAAAGCTTGAAATAATACATGAAAACATCATCTGTAAACTTTGATTTCTAAACTTATATCGGACGTGCTGTTGTGAAAAACGAACCAATATTGAACTGTATGCCAACATACACGTGAAGAGAAAAAGAAATAAGATGGAAAAAAGAAATACAGGAAATAGATGCAATAAGGTCATCACCATGGGGTGCAATAGTCCGAAAAGATGGAGCGTGTCTCTAGTAATAATCCTGGTGATCTCTGTCGTCACTGCTTGTGTTGGATTCTATACATATGTTAACAAGCGGCTCTTCTGCTGAACCAACATTACGTTTCGTCAGTATAGCAAGTATGATTCTGAGCAATGATTCTAATGAGTTTCTTTTGCTTTCAGTCGTGGCGGTATCTTTCTCCTCCTTTCTTTGCTCCTCTATTTTCTGTAACTTTCGCGAAAGTCGAAAGTCTATTTTTAAAACTTATTCAGGGTGTCTATTAGTCTGGAAATAGTACTGATTTTTAAAAGGTCGGTCCGGAAGAACGGAAAAAGTGCGGGATTCCGCAAGAAGGTCCGGAATTTTTCCCTTCATACCACGCCTGTTTTTTAATAAACCCTAAAAAGTATGCAATCCCGTGCGCGTTGATTCTTAGAGCAGTATTTGCCTGCAAGATCGCGATTCTGCTACCAGTTAATTTCTTACTGAATTTCTTGAGAATGCACAGAAAAAGTACCAAAATGTTCCACAAGGACTCCCCGATTCCAGGATGATTCCTGTAGAACCCCCCTCGATGTTCATGACAGGTTGACTTTCTTGCCAAATTTTCGAAAGAATGAGGCTCACAAAATAAAAGAGAAATATGTGCAGGGTTTACTTTTTATTTATCTCTTTTAAGTTTAAATTTTATGGGCTTTTAAGGGATAAATTTGAACTCAACAACACTCACCCCTCCTACTGAAATGCGTTACGCAGAATCCCTCTCTGTCAAATTATTTTTCTTGAAGCTTCTATGACTGACCGCTTCCCCTCTCCTCATCCTCTCGACAGGGCGCACTTATACGTCATTTTAAGGGACAGTTAGGGTGTAACAGTACCAGTACCTTATGAAGTTGTAATTGAAAAACAAGGTCTGAGGTCTTACCTACTCCTCCATGAGATCATTAAATTTCTGTCGATAATCATATTTTTCTTGATCATTAGCTGTACTTACCAGGAGCTATTTATGTTTGCCTTCAAGCGGCAAGATAGGCAAAATCTGTTCTCGAGCGCCATTAAAATTGTATTCCTATGTAATACGAATGCCAAGATATTAACAGAGAGTCAATTCTCTATATTCCTTTTATACTTCTGACAACTCTGCAATAAACGCATAGAACTTCAAGTTTCTACATTTTTCTCTCTCTTAATTCTTTGGAGTACTCTTATTGTGACATTTTATATGCACAATGGTGAGAAATACAAAGTTCTTGCATATTTAGTTTTTTGGAATAAGAATAGATAAATCTTATATTTGTCAGATAATATTCAGATTTTTCTGGAACAATTTGGCTCCTTTTAGTTGAATGTCTTTTAATTTGCTGCATCCAGATTCATAGGCATGGTGACAGAGCTCCGGAGGTTTCGTATCCCCTCGATCCGTACAAAGGAGAATCGTTTTGGCCGGAGGGACTTGGAGCCTTATTACAGGTAACCATTATTAACATTAAAAACCAATTATTATAACTGTATGCTCGCACTCTGCACTGGAAAAAAAAGTAGCTTGAAACAAATCAAAATCAGCTTGAAGCAAGCTGGAAAAAATCTTAAATTTGCCGCCAAGAAAACGTATAGCTTGAAAGAAGCATGGCCGTGCTGCTTGAAATTATAGCTACCCGGCGGAATCTTAATTATTTTTCGTTTAACGCTCAGATCCAATACTAAATACTGAAAGTTTTATTCATTTTTCATAAAATTCCGTAACGTAGGGATAAAACGTTACTGATTCTTCGACATGGATCATGTTGAAGTCGTCGTGCGTTGCCGCGAGTTTTGTTCTCGGTTTGCAGCACTGTTAAAATGCGCGGCTTTAGGAGATCTCCTAAAATGACTTGAGAATGTAGGAATGTATAACTTAATGCCCGTGTCGAAAATGAAGACGGAGTGGTTACAATCCAATGGAAACTTTATTCAAGAAGTTGGCTGCAAACTTAATTTAAGTCTAATTTTTTCAGCTATTTCCGAGATTCGTGTCATGCTTGAAACCAGGAATCTTGAATCGAGTATAGTGCTGCTTAAATCAAGTTAGCAGGTGATTCAAGCTATAAGGTAGCTGCAATTAAGAATCTCGAATCTTGAATTTAGCAATAAATTGCTTGTTTTAAGATAAAAATTCTTGAATCAAGCTGATTTTTTCTCAAGATTCCGAGACGGCTTGACCGTAGCAGACTTTTTTTTCCAGTGTGAGTCATTACCAGAGATACTCCCGAATCTACGTTTTCCCGTATCTCTCTGAAACTTTACTTTTCATATTACCAAAACCACTGTGTAACTTTTTCCCCGTTAATTTACTTTTTGACGAGACTTAAAGTTCCCTTACAGGGCTGGATTAAGGGGGTGGCCACGTGGGCCGCGGCCCATGGCGGCAAATCTATATGGGGCGGCAAATTTTATTTTTTTTAAAAATGTAGGTATAGAAAATTCGAATTTAGAAGAAAAAATTACAAACTAGAAAAGGCGACAAAATCTCTAATTTTCTGAGAGTATAGTAATTTCTACTTTTGTCGTCTTTCAGTGTTACAAGAGACAGCACCTTTAATTAGTTGAGTTAAGAGAGGAATCAAACACACAATTTGGCCTGGAACGGCGCGACTTATAGAGAAACAATGAAGGACTTGAGATGAAAAGAAGAAGCCCTCGGCGCGGCGATCGGCATGTAACACATTTTAGCCCCTACATGACTTCACAAATACTTCACGCATTGCGGCAAACACAGTGCGATCAGCGTGAAACGCATAGCGCCTACAAGACTACGTAAATACTTCACGCATTGCGTCAAACTCAGTGCGTTCAGCAGCGGTCGCGTGAAACTCATAGCGCCTACAAGACTGCCGGAAAACTTCACGCATTGCGCGAACAAGGCGCGGTCTGCGCGGCGCGGCGGCGGAAGTTAAAA